CGAATGGAATGAAAATACCTCCATCACGCCACAACTCCCTACATTTGTGTTTGTTCTGCAGAAGAAGTGGTCACTCATTGGAGCAGTGTCCACACATCCTGAAGAAAACACACAGAGAAAGAATGGACTTCTTGAAAGGAAAAGGGGTGTGTTTTGGATGCCTAAAAATAGGACACATGAGCAAACACTGCCACAGTCGTTTGACATGTTATGTGTGCAATCAAAGTCATCCTGAAATACTCCACATTGAACAAAAAGGCAAAAGAGAGGAAGCAGAACACACAAAACAGAATGGGAAGCCAATGGAAAGTAATAGTGTCATCTCACCTCATACATGTGGTCACATTGGGGCCGGTGATGAAAACTCCATCTTCTCCATTGTACCAGTACAAGTAAAGAGCCACAAAGGGGACAAAGTGTTACAAACTTATGCATTTCTGGACCATGGAAGTTCATCCACCTTTTGCTCAGAAAGTTTAATGAGGAGGCTAAACCTTACAGGACAAAGGACTAACATTCTCCTAAAGACAATGAATCAGAGAAAGATTGTGTCTAGTCATCATATCTCAGGTTTGGAAATATCGAGTCTGGACGAAAACAATTTCCTTCAACTATCCGATGTGTTTACACATAAAACCATGCCTGTTTCCAAGCACAATATTCCTCTACAAGAAGATCTGGAAAAATGGCCTTACTTAAAGGACATCAAAATTAATGAAATTGCTTCTGGCATTGACCTACTCATTGGGACAAATTCTCCTAAGGTATTGGAACCTTGAGAGCTGATCAATAGCCAAGGAGAAGGACCGTACGCTGCAAAGACCCTACTGGGGTGGGTCTTCTATGGTCCCCTAAAAGGAAGCAACGACAGCAGAGATGCTAATGGCCACCCTGCTGCTGCTGTTAATCGGATAGCCATGGTACACCTAGAGGAGCTATTGGTCAAACAATACAAGCATGATTTCAAGGAAAATACAAGCAAGGAAACAGAGGAAATGTCCAGAGAAGAGAAACAATTCCTGAACATTATGAATCACTCTGCAAACATGTCAGACGCCAAAGAGGATGGCGATGTTGTAGCGGACGCCAAAGAGGATGGAGATGTTGTAGCAGACGCCAAAGAGGATGGCGATGTTGTAGCAGATGCCAAAGGAGACAGTGATAGGGATGTTGAAGGCAAAACTGAGGCCCCCCAAGAAGAAGAAGATGAGGGTCGGGATTGAGGGTCAGGTGATTGCTATGAAGAGGCAGAAGACGAGCCTTTTGAAAGCCAGCCGACTTCAGACTCCTGTCACAGCATGCCTGACTTCACAGCAGATGTCGAGTTACACCAATCTGACGCAGTGCCTGAGGAAGAAGCCAAGCCTGTGGCCGAGAAAGTGAAAATGTCAGATGGACACTACTGCCTAGACTTGCCATTCAGACAAGAAAATCCCAGCTTGCCTAACAACAAACACGTTACCGAGCAGCTCATCTGCGATTTTGCTGCTATGGTAGCAGGGCACCGGCTGAACCCAAGTGACAGACCTGAAGAAGTGACTGACTCATCAATGCAGGAGCCCTATAAGGAGAGGCTTGGAATTGGATGAAAATATAACCCACAGGTTCTCTCGGCGCTGGACGGGATGGCAACACTACTGCTTCAACCTAAGAACAGCAAAGACTGATGACCCTTAAAATAAGGGAGAAGAAAATAAACTACAAATTATTTAAGAATTACATGCTAACACATACACACCATTTGTATAGCTCCTTTATTATTTATTGGTAATTGTTTTTGTTTTCATACTAAAGCCAAAGGGGCCGGTGTGTAGGAGCCATTTTGTGGGTGATGTTGGTGTGTCAGTTTATTTAAGTTATATGTATAGTGCAATATTATTTATGAACACTGGGTGGCGGGGTTTAGCTGCACCGGGTGTATATAAGGAGGTCATAGGTGACAGGAGATGGAAGGACACAGTAGGAGAAGAGCATACCGATTCCACCAGCCCGGCAGATGCTCATAGAATCACTAGAACGCTAAATTAACCCTGGTATGTAAAGACGAATAAACATCATCATAAACCACAACTAAGGACCGGAAAATCATCTGTTTGTGTCTGCGTCTGGATCACTTTTCAACCCTTCTGTGAAAGTAACGGCAAAAATATATAGGACATAGGAAAAGGAAATTGCCATTACAGATAGTGTGAACGCATGATATGAAACTTCACTGCATCTGAGGTTGGTGGCAGAGTCTCTTGTGGACGACCTTTGCAAAACAACTTCACTCTTGCTCTTGGTTGCCAACTTCCAGAAATGGAGAAACGGGACACATGCATGTGTCCCCCGCGCACGTGCGCGCGAAGATTTTCGGGTTTCTGGCGGATTTAGTTACTTTTTTTTGTTACTTTATTTCGGTTTTAGGGTTAGGGTTAGGTTAGGGTTATGTTATTTAATTATTTTGGGGGAGCCAGCCCCCTAGGGTTCGAAAATGTTTTTGGGGGTCAAACCCCCCAAAACCCTCAAAATGCATAGAAAACTATGCATACCTATAACACAATACAAACACAATGGTCTTACACCTGCATTAGGCTACTACATCAGCATGTTCAAATCAGATAGGTGGGCACTAGGGACATCTGGGCACCTCGATGTACAATTGGCTATTTTGTCCAAAATGTTACAAAATAAATATTTGAAAAATGGTATTAAGTAATGCAAAGTATACATGATGTGAACATGCAAGGTACATTATTATTAGACTTAATGTTATCCTTCAACCAACCATTTTCCCATCAATCAGCTGACACACACACACACACAGAAGACCCGAGACAGATCTCCACTCACGGGCTTTACTCAACTGTGTTTTTCTTCCCACTGTTTGTTGTAAGACACAAGTAGCCAGGGCCCAGAACCACATCCTGTCTCTCTTCTCCTCTTTCATTATCACCTCCTCCACCGGCAGCGCTCATTTTCCCACACGACTGAACAGGCTGACATGCCACACAAACAATGATGCCGCGACCGCGGCCCACCGGAGAAAATCTCACACACACACACACACACGTGCAAGCATTGTGCCTGCCCTGTCAACTGAGCAGTCCTAGCGCCCTTCGCATACAGCACACAAACACAAAGGCACGCAGCCAGACACACTGCATTGCGCGCAAACAGAAAAATATTTTTTATTTTTCCCTTTACACGGGAGTCCGGGACAAACATAGTCCCGTACGGGACACGCCCCTTTTGGCTCAAATACGGGGCGTCCCCGCTAATACGGGGCGTCCCCGCTAATACGGGGCATCCCCGCTAATACGGGACGGTTGGCAACCCTAGGCACACCATACATCTAAAGGCCCTGACACACCAGGCCGATTTCGGCTGTTTTCGTAAGTCGGGAGACGAAGCGTGTCCTGTCGCCCAAACTCAATTTGGTGTGTCCCGCACCGTCGACCGTGACACGCCTTATTTGGACTGCCTGTCCCGATGCATGGCCGATTCAACATGTTGAATCGGCCATGCATCGGGTCTGGCAGTCGGACCAAACAATCACTCTGATTGGCTGTTCAGCTAGCGAATCAGTGCATGAGAAGCTAAACGGAAGTGAGGGACGTAAACAAACGATTTAAGAAGGCACACACAGACTGATATTCATTTTCATCTCATCATGGCGATCTGGAATGACGCAAACGAAGACCTGCTCATCACATTGATCCAGGAGAGGCCAGCTCTGTACGACATCACAGAGAAAAGGTACTCTAACCGAGTAGTGAAAACCGGACTCTGGCGAGATTGAAACGCAACTTGGTTTCTCGGGTAAGATTATCTTTTTCATCAATTGAGCTCTTTAGCAGATATTGTTGGCTTTTTATTGTTTGCCAGCGTACAGTGACGTTAACGTGAAATGTAATTTGTTATTTCAACCTTGTGTTTTCTTGTTATCTTGTTGCTAGCTATTGCTAGCTGTGCAGTTTGGCACTGCATATAGATATTAATTGGACATGCTAACTAGCCACAATGCTTACATCGTTTATTTGTGTGCTTCAGAGAAAGAGCTGAGGAAGAAGTGGGATTCTCTGCGAACCCAGTACACCCGGTACAAGAGACTTGCCCCTTCGGGTAGTTGTGGAGCACCAAAGGACTGGCAGACAGCAGTGGATCATAACCAGGCTGCAGTTTGCACACGCTATTTGTTGTTGTTTATATCACGCAGTCTGTTCTTCTTCTCTGTCTTCCGGTTGTTGCCTATTTTTAATGACGAATACACACTACCGCCGCCTGCTGGTAAGGAGAGTTATTGCCACTCACGCACTGAAGTCTTTGCGGTGTGTTCCCGTGCGACACATGGCCAAGACGCAGGAGAACACCGCGACGCAACAGCCGACGTCGGCGTCGGCGAGTCCTCTGGTGACTGCTTGGTGTGTCAGGGCCTTTAAGGCCCGGACACACTAATCTGACAACAAATAACTGACACAGACGGACCCCGACTGTTGCGTCGCCTCACGTCTCTGCGTTTTGGCCATGTGTCGCACTGGAACACACCGCAAAGACTTCAGCCGACAGCCAAGAAGCACGTACGAACTGCGCATGCGTGAGTGGCAATAACTCTCCTTACCAGCAGGCGGCGGTAGTGTGTATTCGTCATTCAAAAGAGGCAATAACCGGAAGACAGACTGCGTGATAACCGAGAGAAGAAGAACAGACTGCGTGATATAAACAAACAACAAATAGCGTGTGCGTTCCATTTTCACTCTACAACGAGAAGCTCATGGGGCTTTCCTGAACCTGTGTCGAGAGCTGGAGTTAAATTAAATCTCAGATTTGCCTTCTTAATAGTTTGGTTGCACTGATTCGCTAGCTGAACAGCCAATCAGAGTGATTTCTTTGAGAAGGGTCTAGCTGCGGCCGCGGACAGTACACGACGGTACACGACACGCCCACCTGACACGACACTACGGTGGCTGAGAAGGGTCTAGCTGCGGCCGCGAAAGTTCTACTTCCAAATATGGTCAGAAGAGAGCACGTCCAACACGTGAGACGCTGACGCAAGGATATTTAAGGAGACATGGAGGTTTACAGACAACAGACAACAAACAATATGGCGCACCGAGTACAGGTAATTAACCAGTGACGTGCGGTGAGGTTCATGGCTGGTGAGGCACTGACTCTTTCAGAGTCAGATTTACAAATATTATATTTTGACCTTAATCGAAATATTCGGTTATTTTCAAAAGCTTTTTTAGTCTGATGCTTCAATTCATTTTAAACAGACCGTTCAACAAAAGGTTACCCACAATCTAAATATTGGATTGTTCTTTCTTAGTAAGAGCCATTTGCATTATAATTGGGGTCTTACCTTGACTTGAAGATGAAGTCCATGCTATCCTTCTGGACAACAATCTCTATTACTTTTTTGTAAAAGTCCTCCTTATCTTCCTCTAGTCTCAAAAGTCTAGTTTGTTGTTTGCGTTCCGTCTCTGCGTAGAATAACAGTAGCAACAAGAACCTGTGGGCTCACTTGCGCCCCCTTCAGTGCGGCAGAGGTTATGGCTACCTCCCCTGGTGCTTTTTTCATTGCCGTTGTATGATGAGACCAGCGAGCCTAAATATCATATATACGTGAAAGAAGTTATTTAGAGACTATGGATGGCGAGGATAAATGTAATAAAGGGATCTACAAACATTACATTGGTGACATACAGTGAGATGGTGCAGGCATGCGCTTAGGGTCCGCTTTCCAGACTGTTTCCAGTTTCTGTGGGGTGACGCATTCTGAGGTGAGGCAGAGCTCATCTGTGCCTCACCTCACCACACAGTAACTGGCTCACAAAATAAGTGCCCGCGCTAAATTAGTGCCCGCGCTCCAGCCAGTTACTGTGGGCTTACGTGAGGCAGAGCTCGTCCCTGCCTCACTTCTCTCATCGCGCCCCGTAGTTGTAGCGGAGCTCGGCACATTTGCTGATTTTGACTATAAAAAGCGATTGGAATCAAACATAAATCACATTTACAAAACAGATCAGTGGAGACATTTTATTATTTTTACTATTTAGTTTTTCTTTAGTTGTTTTTCCGTTACATTGGAGTATGGCAGGTGAGGCTCTGCCTGACTGCACGTCGCTGTAATTAACGTATTGTGGTTTTAGATATAATTACATACTATTTAGGTTCTCGTTTGTTTGTCGATGTGGCTGTTTAGCGCAGTGTAATTGTGTTTATTTTGCTATATATATATATGGGAATGGGAATGACTGTGGTGTCTTCATGATAATGGTGAGTAAGGATAAGGCCGTGATATGGCACAATTGATTGCTCCTTAACACCTTTCATTTGTAAATACATGCAATAGTGATTCACCACCACTTAGACCTGACAAACATTCTGTTTGAATCCCAATGTTCTCTCACATTATGCACTTGCAAATAAACAGGTGTGCAATAATAAAAGGATTTAAGGAATGTTCACGTATAGGTAGGCCTCTCGTGCATCTTTCTTGTGGCGTTATCACCTCCACATTTTATTGGAGGTGTGTGACTACTTTCTCACTGAGTTATAAGCCATCACGTGTACATTATGTCTTGCATGTGCTAATAAAATTCTAATTACAGTATGCCTGGTATTTTGCCATGGAGGCCAGCTTTGACTTCAGCATTGTAAGTATTAAGGAAATAAGTCACATTAAAATGCTATAACAAACTTAATGAAAATTGATGCTCTTTCTTTAGCATGACATGTCTCTCCTGAGAAGGTGGTGGTGTGTTATCCTGGTGGAAAACTTTGGACTGGAAGGGTATGCTGCAGTGCTACAAAAACATTTGAATTTGTAATTGTATTATCAAGAAGATTTGGGGGGAACACCTGGCTCTAAAATTCAACCTTCTGGTGAAGAAAATGTGTCTTAATTGCAGGTATGGAAAGAGGTTTGCTCACTATAGTGAGGAAGGCAGGGCGACCCAATGTCCCACCTACATTCAGGATCAGTCGTAAAAGGACGCATGCAAGCAGCACCATGGTCAGTGTATCGCTCAACGTATCTCTGACCCTGTGTGCCTGTTTCAGAATGGGTTACTACTCCTAAAACACATACTACATAGAACTTATGGTACATGCAACATTTGTTTTGTGTGGTATTGTGTCATTCTGAATCGAGCCTGGATCATTTTTGGAGGAGTTAAACTGTGCATGTAAAGCACTGTCAAAATAATGGTTGACTGTCTGATGCCCCTGGACACTGATGAGGACCACTCCTATAACAAGAGGCCTTACAGCTTCCTTCCTAAAGAGTCGGTTAGTGAATGGACACATTAAAGTGTACAACCCCTGATGCATGTGATTTTATAATATTACATATGACTTCTTTATACCATCTTGTCTTATCAGTGAGATGGAACTTTGTTCTCATGACCTCGCCAAGAACATGAGTGAGGAAGCGCACCAAAGGCTGAAGGACTTGTGAAAGATTCCGAGGAGTTTTTAAATAGGCTTTAAACTCCTGCAGGTCAATATTTTTTTAAGTTGACCAGCTCTGATTTTCCATATGATGTTCTGTTCAATAAATGTTCATTGAGGAAAATGGTATCAGTGTCTTATTTTATATACATCACAGTGAATGCTGAACTTGCCGGACCATATACTGTAGTTGAAAGTACACAATGAAACACTGGCTTGCTTGTATCAAATCAATACAATTCCCACATGCCCTACCCCGGAACCTGCGGTCTTCAGACTCTGGCCCCCCGCACCAACCTGCGATCCTTCGGGGACAGAGCCTTCAGTATGGCAGCCCCCACTCTCTGGAACGCTCTCCCTGCGGAGATCTGCAATATCCCCACGCTTGACGCCTTCAAAAGGGCCCTCAAGTCCCATCTGTCTGCCAAGGCCTTTGGCCCCAAATCTATTTGTTGTTTTGTTCTTCTTTTTAAAGCGACCTTGGGTCTCATGAAAGGCGCTATATATATCTTATTAATACATCATTGGAACGGTACCTCCAGTATGCCTACATGACAAGCATTTGTATACAGTAAACATATCTTTGACTTATTGCAAAATTATAAAATGAAATTCACCCCTGCTGTCATTCTGGCTTTCACTGTTCAAATGAGATGTCAACCATCAAAATGGGATAAGGGCTTCCAAGGGGTTCTCAAACGGATAGGTTATTAATTTATTTGCCTAATAGTTGCTTAAAATGCTACAATAACATGCCATGTACGGTCTCTCAGCCATCATAGGCGGCGTAGTAGGGGGCGTGTCGTGTAGTGTCGTCAATTCGCTTTTCATCTGCCATGCCTCTCAGCCACCGTAGTGTCGTGTCAGGTGGGCGTGTCGTGTACCGTCGTGTACTGTCCGCGGCCGCAGCTAGACCATATTGATTTATTTGGTCGACTGCCGGTTTTCGGCCGAAAAGGCGTCGGGTCGGCTGAAAAGACCCAACGGTGCGGGACACACCAATCCGAGTAGGGCGTGTCGACGTTCATCGTCGGCCTGATGCCCACCAACGCCAATAATCGGGTTGGTGTGTCCGTACCTTTACAGATACATTTCTCTGTTGATGTCACAATACATTCTGTGAGAGGGCCCTTCCCAAGGCCAGTAAGATCGGTGTGATGTTGAGGCAAGGAGTGTGTCCACTTGATTATCAGATAGTAACTTGCGAATGTCATGTACTGGAAAATACTTTTTCGGATCTGCAATGCCACATGGACCATCCCAGCTAGAATCTTTTGGTTCTAAAAACATTCTGAGAATGTTACCATTCACTGTTCTAGGAATGTTTTCAGCGGGAAGTTTTCTTTTGGTTCCCAGAATGTTCTTCTGAAAGGTAGGATAACGTTCTCTAAAAACATTCTTAAAATGTTTGGTGATAACTTTCTTAAGCTTATTTTTGATAACCTTCTTAAGATGTTTTTGATAACATTGAACATTATGCCCTACTATTCTTAAAACGTTTTCAGCGGGACGTTTTATTTTGGTTCCCAGAATGTTCTTCTGAAAAGGTAGGACAACGTTCTCTAAAAACATTCTTAAAATGCTTGGTAATAACCTTTTTTAAATGTTTTTGATAACATTGTTAGAACATTATGCCCTACTATTCTTAAAATGTTTTCAGCTGCAAGTTAAAAATGTTTATGTTGCCAGAATGTTATTATTTTAGAGTAGGATCAGGTCCTTTTACCGTTCCGATTTATCAGAAGTCTTCTTTTTTTTTTCGACCAGCAGCTAATACAAGTCACTGTCGGTGTCACATGTACTGGAGGGGACCCAGAATCAGACTCGGAATCAGCTGGTGAAAGTAACATTTGTTTATTAGAAAAGGGGAGCTGGGAGTGGAGGTTGGTTATGGCGGCAGTGGGAAACAGTTGTTCCAGGGTAGAGAGGCCTGGCTGGTCTTGGGAGTGTGGAAGGTCTTGGATTCCTCCTGGGAGAGACATAAAAATGAGTGTGAGGCAAAAGCAGGCAAAGTTGTCAAAGAATATGCTGGCAACAAACCGTTCACGCAACAAACCGTTCACGGCAACAATCTGGCAGGGAATGAGTGCAGGCTGCAGGCTTTCATAGTGTGGATGATGAGCAGGTGTGGTTGATTGGAGATTGCTCCCAGCCGTGTAGAGCAGACCAGCAGGCAGGGGGGGGGGAGCTTTGGAAGGAGCAGCGACAGAGGGAGCCTGCGGAATTCGGCATTTGGAGAAAGCCTCAGAGATGGCAGTCTGCAGCTACCACCTGACACTGTCATCCCAGGAGCAGAGCGGCTGGGCCTTCTTCCCCATGTGTTGGTTGGAGATGAGGCTTTTCCGCTGCTGGACAAGCTGCTGCGTCCATTCCCTGGACGTCTCCTTATGCGTGAAAGGAGGATGTTCAACTACCGCTTCAGCCGGGCCAGGTTGGTGGTTGAATGTGTGTTTGGCATCCTCTCATCTCAGTGGAGAATGTTGAGGCGTGTCATTACCACCAGCCCGGAGGTAGTAGAGTTGTGTGTGAAGGCCGCCTGTGTGTTGCACAACTTCCTCCGCAGGAAGACGATAGGAAGGACATCACGCACACCTATCGCGGAGTCCACGGATTAAGCTCCAGCTACTCCAACCCTGCGTGATGCACCGAGGATAGGCTCCAACAATGCCACACGCAGAGCCATCCAACTGCGGGAGAACTTCTGCTCCTATTTCAATGAGGAGGGTGCAGTGCCATGGCAGCAGAATGTGGTGTAGGGTCACCATGGCTCTTTTAAGAGCCTCCAAACCAGGGTTGCGTTCCAATAGTCCATTTAGCTTAGGAACCTTCCTAACGGAGTGAAATGACCCGGAAGTACGTCACTGGCAGCCATGATAAGTGCCGTTCCAATTCTCCAAATGAAAGGAAAGGAGGTTTCAAACTTCCTTTATAACCTCCTTTAGCTTAGGAACCACTGGACCTCCCTAACTGAAAGGAGAGGAGAAAATGCTGCCCCACAATGCATTGCAGCCGCAGCATTTGCCGTCACTCAACAGTCGGCCGTTCACGGACACAAACGATAATAGGATAAATTATATCATGAAAGTTACGGTGCTTATTAAGCTTTTTAAAACGTATGTGGTAAGTTGCCAAAGTGCTTTGTTTTGAACGTTCATCAGTATTATAATCAAAAAGAGATGAAATGATCAAATAAAGTCAACATTTCACAGTGTTTACTGAGCTGTGTGGAGTTTGTTCAACTTTTAAAAGATGTTTGAATGGTGATATACACAGTGATAGATGGTAAGGACTAACTTTTATAATAAATACATTTGTATTGATTTTAAGATCTTTTCATACAATCATACGTATTGGGATCATTTGTATTAATGTGGACCGGAGGGAGAGGGTGACGAGCATAAGTTTCACTTTCCTTTTTTATTTCAATTCCAACTTTGGTCCTGAAGAATATGTTTCTCTGTTGTCCACGTTCATAAAGCATAAAGCAACAGCATCAGAGCACGGTGCAGAGTCTCTAGATGAGTTTACAGTAGTCCCTCGTTCTTATTAAACATCCATGTTGTATAGAAAACTGTAGTTTCCATAGTTTCCCCACAGCAGCAGACGCACATTCATGACGTCCGCTGGCGCATCATAAACACGTCGGATAGTGAAAGTGCAGTCGGATTCTCTAAAGTACCGCAGTCTCTTCTCCTAAGTCCTTTTGAATTCTCCTATCCACTATCCCTTAACCCCGTGACGTTTCACTCAGAGGTCAAGGAATAGGAGATAGGGTTAGAACTTAGGAGCTGATTTTTGGATAATCGGAACGCAACCCAGCTCTTTTAAGAGCTACCCATATTTTCTTTAAAAAGCAAATATTCCAAATGAGCCATTTAAAAATAAAACATTCCTAATAAACATGTTTCTTGAATTGATATTATGATATGACTAACAACCTTTTTCCTTTAGCCCTGTTTTTACTGATAAACCACTCATAAAAATAGATTTCCGGTATTCTGGATACTAAACCTTGAGTTTATGTTCTAAAACATAATATTTGCATTGTGTATATTATGTTGACGCCGGGCTGTGTCACTTGACTACACTCTCTGCCATTGTGTGCAGTAGCGTGGCGTGGGGGAAAAAATAGGGGAAGCCAATAATACGTCCTTTCTTTTGAGTCGGGGGTGTGGTGGTCAATGTAATAACGTAACCAGATGAGTGATTACAGCACCCGGTATCATTTTACACACATTTGTATCATACAGATGCAGGACTTACACGCGCCTGTTATCTAACCGACAGGTCCGCACGCACTCTCCAGCCCAAACTCTAATAAGCATTCATTCACAAACTAAATCAGGAGACCTTTAACGTAAACGGTACTCTGCCCCCCCCCCCCCTCCCCCTCCCAGTGAGCTGTGGTGTTCCACAAGGAAGCATATTAGGTCCGTTACTGTTCCTAATTTATGTAAACGACATGTCATCAGCATGTGACTGCAACTTGTTCCTGTTCGCGGACGACTCAGCCCTGCTGGTCTCTGACAGGAGCAGATTGCAGGTTTAAAAAACCCTCAGCTC